CCCCCCCCCCTTCTGCTTTCTAATGGAGCATTCCCATAAAGCTCGTCTTTCATTCAACGTGCTCGCGCGGGCAAAAGATTGCCCCCCTTTTCTTTTTTTCAGGGTTTGGAACGCAGAGGAGATTACTTTTTTTATTTATTTATTTTTTTTCGTTGCTGGAGCTGCCACCGGGTCCTTCCCACAGCTGTCTGCGCTGAAGGACAATCAAAGGCCCCACCGGCGAGTCCTCTGATTGTGGTGTGATTCTCCGTCCCGCTCCCCCCCTCCAATTACGGCGCTCCGCCTGCGCCGTAACGAGCCCCGTGTTGTGCTCACGTTAGCGGGGACAGCGGCCTGATTGCGGCGGAGGATGCATTTGAACTCGCCGTTTAATTTGTCTCCTTTCTTGCCAAATTACCCCCCCCCCCCTCCCAAAATCTCCCCCGATCACCATCACGCCCGGTCACGGATACCCCTGCTGCGTAACTAAGGCTTATCATCGGCCGCCGCTTCTAATGTTCCAAATCCAAGACTTTAAAGTTGTTTCTTCCCCCCACCACCCCCCCTTTTCTTTTAACTCCACTCAATTATCGCAGCGCCCTTGACAATTAAATTTCCTCCCGCTGCCGAGACGTTAACTCACCGGCATGGTTTCTGTGTTTTCTGCAAGGATCAGGCCTTCAACAGCCTCCTTGTGTTATGACAGCAACCTCATGTAATGTCAATACTTTGCTGTTACGCTAGTAATTAGAGGGTAGTCGTACAAGGCAAGATTTCCTCAACCACTGAAGCACTAAATTTGCAGCACCAGTCAGAATTGGATGGAAAGCCCCCGAGGCACGGTGATGCGTTTGTTCCTCTTCCCATCTAACGCGGCGCCATATGCAACGCTTCAAGTCTCGCCTTTTTCTGACCTCTGACCTCAGAAACTAATTTGTCTTGTTTTTTCCCCTCTATCCTCCTCAGGAGTGAGCCCTGGGCTGGATGGGACCCACCATGCCCCCCAGTAAGAAGGCCCAGAGCCCCAGTAGTGGGGCCAGCGCATCGCAGGGCATGAGCCCGCCGTACCGGCAGGGGGACGCCGCCACCGCCGCGTCCGAGGCCGAGGCGGCCGACCTCTCCCTCTCCCTGTCAGCCTCCTTCTCCAAAGCCGAGGACGAGGAGCTGACCAGCCTCTCCTGGCTCCACGAGAGCACCGACCTCCTCAACAGCTTCAGCCACTCGGGGCTGCGCAGCGTCTCCCCCCTGCAGGACCCCGACAGCCAGCACCCCCGCTCGCCCTCGTCCGCCTCCCCGTCCCCGGACGACCCCCTGCTGGGCGACGCGCACTCGGCGTACGACCTGGCGGCGGGGGCCAACCGGAAACCGCCGTACTCCTTCAGCTGCCTGATCTTCATGGCCATCGAGGACGCGCCCAACAAGCGGCTGCCGGTCAAAGACATCTACGGCTGGATCCTGGAGCACTTCCCGTACTTTGCCAGCGCGCCCACGGGCTGGAAAAACTCGGTGCGCCACAACCTGTCGCTCAACAAGTGCTTCAAGAAGGTGGACAAGGATCGCAGCCAGGTAAGAAGACCCCTTGCCCTCCATGGAGGATTGTTGCATTGATCTGAACTGACTTTTATTTAGAGCTTCAGCTGTATTCCATCAGTGTTTTAAGATGGCGCTCTCACCAGGAACAATTCCTGCTTTACAGTTTTGCTATCGTCGCCTAGCTACGTTCCAAAATACCCCTTTAGCCATATGAAGGACCGCGAAAAAGTCTGGACTCGTCAGACATTCTCGTATTATTTGACGTGGCCGTAAGCAAGAGGTCCACATGGTTTGTAAAGGCCCATCTTAGTCGGGTATCTTCTCACGTCCTGACGTCAGCAGCTTCCGGCAATTTTTTACAAATATTTTTACATCAATGACGCAAAAAAAGTGTCAACTATAACGCAGTTTAGCAGGCTGTAAATAGTATTTTCACACTAACAAGGTGATTAGCAAAGAGTTATTAGCGGAAAACTTGGCATATCTCTGCACGGCGTGCTGTGCAAAAACAAAAAAAGAAAAAGAAAAGCCTCGGGGCAGTTGGACAAATGTAATACAAAAGAAGGGATCTGAGAAACGGTATAGATGTATAAAAACTCAGGAAACGCCGAGCTCGGCCAAATGATAGAAGAAGTGGGCTTAAAAGCAGCAACAACAGGTCTTATGAAGGGCTGAATCCTCTTTAGAGGCCAGGCCTCAACATTACCGAAGCAGCGTGGGATCGTTTTGACATCAAATGGGTGGGAAAAAAGGCAGCCAACATCCAAAGAAGAGCTTTGGGAGGTCTCTTTAAGAAGCCTGGAGAACTGCTCTTAAATAAAAACCTCCCTACCAAACCCTTTTTCTTTTTTTTCAAACTCCTCAGAATTGCAAAACGCCTGCTCTTACCTTTTATTTTTGGGAAAAATAGTCATGATATTTCATGTACAATATTGAACAGACGTCGCGTTATCTCCGGCGCCGTTTCAGAAAAAGAGGGAAGGGCTGGAGACTTCAGCTCAGTGTGGGCCTGCAGCCCCGTTATTCACCGCCGTTATTTTGCAGCCAGACAGTTATCAGCCCTTTTTCAGGCATATCCACCGTGAAGTCAAACATATTCTGTATTTTGTCTACAGCTGTACCAGATTCAGCCCCTATCAATAGTTGATGATCCCCGCTTTCATAGTTCTCTTTCGCTCCGACGTTCGGCGCCTCCCCGGTGGGAAGAGCGTTTCGCTTTTGATTTAAGTCTTGACGCTGGCTTTTTATTTTTTTCCTTTTTTTTTCCGTTACACCGGCTTTCCCATCCAGCCTCTTCCCAGGGTAAACACGGGGATGAATCCCCTTTCACTCAATTACGGGCAAATTAATTCGGCAGGATTTAATAACGCGGATGCCGGCAGACTTTAGGTGCCTGCAGGGGGCTGTTGGAGGTGGAGGGGGACAAACGGCACGGATCAATACCCACCCTGCCTGCTCAGTGGATCTGGGTTCCACCGGAGGATGTGTGCAACTCTTTAAGCTTTCCTTGACCAGAGTGAGAATACGTGTGTTTCTGCAGGGTAGGACAAAATGGATGAAGGATGGTGAAGACGTGGTACGCCTGTGTGTGTGTGTGTGTGTGTGTGTGTGTGTGCGTGCGTGTGCGCACACACCCTCATGCTATGCTGTCATCTGGCCCTTGACTACACGAGAGTTTCTCTTGTGTACATATCTCCATAGTAACAAGGTTGCAGTTGACATAAAAGTATGCTGTTGCTGTAGCAACGGGAAAACTGATTTGGCCTTACTGAGCTGGGCGTGCGCGCTTTTGTGTGCGTCTCCATGTGCGCGCACGCTTCGGATAGGCACCGAGGTGTTAAGTGGAGGGGAGAAAAAAGGGTGTGCGGCCTCATATCACGTTACGTGCAAGTATACGTGTGTGTGTGTGCGTGTGTGTGTGTGTGTGTAGAGGTGATTTTGGCAAGGACAGCTTGTCGTGGCTCATTAACCCCTAAAAACTTGCTCCCTCTTCCCCTGCACCTACAAACACGGGCTTGTCTGACACAAATACAAACAAGCATGTGCAAACACACAGACGCAGACACACACAGACACACACGCGCGAGCGCTGTGTCTGTGTGGAAATGAGGGCACATCTCTGTAGACTCTTACTCTACCTGCCAAGTGCTGCGTTTTATCTGAAGCTGCAATTACAGAATCTCTGTAATTTCACCCCGACTCTGCCGTTCCGGAGTTTTTTTCATCCAGAATATCCTTTCATACACGCGTATATATATACACACGCACGCTCTGTACCTGTTTGTGTGTTTGGAATTGAGCAAGCAGTCAAAAGGCAAGTGAGATGCCTGATTTTTTTTTTTTTTTTACTAACGGCTCATAGTAGGTCGAGGTCGCGAATGGGAAAGGGGGGTTGATTCATGGACACACATGGCTCGCCCGTGAACCGACCAAATTATGTTTCCGTCAATTTGCAGAGGTACAGATTAACATGACAGTGGCCTATTTGTTCCAGTGACTGTATTTCTGGGTCATATCCAGGCAGATGACAAAATGGGGTTCGCAATGAGCTTCGCTGCTCGGCGTGCGTGCGTGCATGCACGTATGCGTGTGCACGCTTGTGCGTTTGTCAGTCTTGCGTGTTTGGAGCTCAAAGTTGCGAGAGGGAGGGCGTGAGAGAGTGCGAGTCCCACGGTTGCCATGGCTTTGTTTACAAACAGGATTCTTCACCGCGCAGAATAACATGCCTTAATGACAAGTGTTGTTGCCCTCAGACTTGTGGGTCGGCGCTGAGGAATAATGTCGTAACAGGGCGAAAAGGAAAAAAAAAAGAACAAAAAAAGAAACAAAAAAAGAGGCTCATCCAGCACCGTTCCTCTTATGAAACCTCAGCAGGGAGAGAACAGGCAGTGTTGTAATCTGAGACTCGAGATGGGGTCTCTTAAGTGTGTGACCCCCAACTTGACCCCGGCCTGTTCAGACCAGAGGCGTGCTGGAGGCTCGCGCCGTGTTTTTGATCGAGTGCAGGTTTGCTACATGGGTTTTTTTATTTCTTTTGAAATCTGCATTCATCTCAAGGCAGAAAAAAACAAACCAACATTACGCTCTCTTTAAATCACAAAAAAGTACAGTCTGAATCCGAGACTATGACTAAGCAAAGAGTTCTGGAGATCAGCCTTAAGAAGCAGTAGTTATTGACAATGTGTAGTACCCGGACACGGAAAGGCAATTGAGGCTAATTTTCTCGCTTTTAAGTTTTCAAAATGAATTTTAAGATGTGCCCTTTCATGTTTGGATGGAGTGGATGAAGTGACAGTGTAATACCAGAGGGTATTTTTCTTAGTGATTAAAGGCCTTTGGGCTTGATTCTAGCCTTTAGCATCTTTTGGAGCATTTTTACTCTGAAAACCTTCAGTTTCATTAAGGTTTACACTCAGAAGATGTATTTTAGATGCTGTTGGACCAAAGCCGGTACTAGAGTCCACTCTTAAGCTTTTATTTTTTTTCATTTTTTGTTAAGAAATAGCTAAGAAATGGTTTTCTAAAGCGAGAACGAGTCAGCATGGAGCCGTACTATTACATCACTTTAAATGTCAGTATTGTTTTATGTTGAGTAGGGAGACGGTTTATTCCCACAGAGCGTACTGTACTGTTTTCCGCCTTTACACTGACATCTCGGTATCATCTGCCTAGTTTCTAAATGCATTTTTATGTTTTTTTTTTACATTTTGACATCATTGCTAGGCTGACCTCATTTACAGTATTCATGAACATCGTCTCAAACAGGATTTATTTGCTTTTTCATTGGGATCTATGAAGGCCAGGTGGCAATGTTTAAACACCTTAAACTGTTTGGAAACAAAAGAAACAACGCAGCTGTTTCAAAGCTCACGTGTGAATGCCGCTCTACGAGGAGATGCAACAATCGGATCCACCTGGAAAATCTCACAAACCATGGGCACGTCCTTGCTCCGGTGCCTTGACTTCCAAACAGAAAGAACTTGATTTTAGTTCCGTATTTATTTCATTTTCCACGAGCACCCACTCGACTCTAGCCGACTCTACTTGACTTGACTTGGTTTATTTAATTTTCCGTTGCAAGCGAGAACCACGTATCGCAGAACCCTTTACGCTAACGGCGACAGAAACAGCAAAATCGCACCTTGCAGTGGCTTTCAGTAGGTCGACGTCACATTTTGGACACTGCATGCTTGGAACCCCGACTGAATAGGTGCTAAAATTGTAATTGGTTCTAGGTTCCACCACCTAATGAAAAGTACTCATGGCGTGGTAGTCATGGAAAAGGGCCAACAGATGTTTCCCTCAGATGTCTGTGGAACAGTGTTGCTCCAAAGGTCTCATTCCAGAACCTGGAGACAATCCTGTCCCCTGTATATCCAGCTGTGATCAAATTCGATTGTATAACGACTGTGACTCGGGTTGCGGCAGTGACCTCACAAAAAGAAAAAAAACGATTCAATTAAAATGGTGCGCTAAAAAAAAACACTCCTGTAATATCATCAACCTTTTACCTCAGCACCACAGCCCTACACTGTAATTGTCAGCTTACTTGTGAACATCCTTTAGCCTTGTGACAACCTAAAGAGTCATGTAAGAAAACAAAAAAATGGGTAAAGGGTTAAGTTAAGTTTAAAAAAAATATTGGTGTCAGCACAGCGATTTCGGAGCATTACATGGAACATATTTAATGTGCAAAGAAATGCAAACCATAGAGCCATTACCTGATTGTTAGAGGGCATGAAAGCTTTGAATGTGATTAAGGTATCAGTTCCATTTCAGGCTATATTTATCCACCTAATTATTTATCCCAAAAGAAAATTTCTTCTAAGCTGCCGCTGCAGGCTGTGAAAGCAATACATGCGTTGAAGGAAAGTGAGCAGATTTCCGCTCTTGAACCGAAATCTTCCTGCCCGGAATGCTGGCTGTGCGAATCTGGTCCACGCGTGTCGAGGGACCGAGTGCACAGACGAGGTGTTTTAGGAAAATCATGACACGAGGTCTGTGCCTTGCCACGTTCCCTTAAGGATCTCCAGCACCAGGGGGCATCTCTATGTTTAGCTCCACGCTGTCCTTTTGCTCTCCAATAAGTCCTGGTGATTACTTTGAACAAAATTGGTCCACTTGTCCTGTTTTGAGTTATTTCAGATGGAATGACTTTGAATGTAGGCCAGGCTGTCATTTTTTTTCTTTTGTGCTTATCGCTTCGAACCGATGTTAGATGGTTTTCTTCAGATTTCAGAGATGCCAGGTCTTATTTTTTAAAGGCTCCCAGCCGCCGTCACAAGCGATACTAAGAGTCTGGTCTTCCATTTACTGCTCCACTATCCTCCAGGGTCAAATTGACCCGTTCTGATTTGGCTTATAAAGCAAAAACTACCAGATTAACATACATTTCACACTTAACCTCATTAACCTCCTTCACTCAAGATTCTACCTATTCTCTGAGGACCAAAGGCCGATTTTCTGAATTATTTCATGATGGTTATGATGGGAGGCACACAGGTAGATGGCAAATTGGCAATTGGTGCTTGTCAAAGTAATTTTTTAGTCATCTCAATATTTTCTAATGGCAACAAATAGTTCCACCTGTCAAACTGACCCATTTGTCTTTGATTTTTTTCTAAAGCATGACGTATTAAGTAGCTGACTTGTTTTCAACACATTAGTTAACATTTCACTGTAATTGTCAATTAGATGGTATAATAGACCTAATTTACATTCAGTTATGCCAATTTTTCAAGTGAAGTCAGTAGCTATTGTTTGTTATTTCGATTATAGCTTGTAGCATGGGCTTACATGTCAAAGCAAGAAACAATCCATGATCTTGTCTGGCGAAATGTAGAAAAAAAAACAAGGAATGTTCAACGAACTTTAGTTATGTCGCACTTTTTTAACCGACCACTCAAAGCGATTCAACAGAACATGCCACATTCAACCATTCACGCACATACTGGTGCATACACCAGAAGGTGGTTTAGTGTCCAGCCCAAGGACTCATGCTCCTAAAGACAACAGGGGGTTAACGAAACTTCTCGATGAGGATACGCGGAAGGTCATGTACTACAGTTTTGTTATCTTTCATGCGTTTATATGCATTTCTGCTGTGAAGCCTTTGTGTCTCAAGCCATATGTTCAGAGCAGCCTGAGGCGTGCACTTGAAAGGTCTACAACTGCTACATTCAAGTGTTCTTGGACAAGTTTCACAGGTGTAAAAAGAACTATGCCACTGTGACAAGCCTTAGGGGAGCCCACATGACCTGAGTGAAGTTAATTGCTCTGCAACAGCGCATCATAGGAGCTTTGGAAGCCGCTAACAGAACATTGGGCTCAGTCCAGTTTCAGTCTATAAATGATTTCGAAAGGCATTTGCATTGATGGCTGCGATGTAAGAAGGTGGTCGAAGGAATGCTCTCGCAGTATGTAAAATCATTTTGAATTGACTTTGCAGCAGATGGGAACATTTTTCAGACTGGCCATACAAGAGAGGCTTTTTGGAATCTGGAAGAGTCTTCAAAGCAGCAGGAACTGCTGACAAGTTGATAGAGTTCGGTCTGGATTCGGTCTTTGAGTAGGCGTGATTGTAATCACCGACGCAAGAGAGAAAATAAAGAAACTGTTCATGGAGCCCAAACATTTGTTGAATCAAAACCGCATTGCAAAAACTGCTTTATTATCTGTGGAGGAAAAAAATTTCAATCGTGGCACCTGTAGAAGAAATTTCTCCTAAACTGTAGAGAAATTGGCCATACTCACAACGCAGAGGGTTGGCCTCAAGAATGGTTAAAACATTTTCTCCTCCTTTTGGTCAAAAGATTATATGAAGTTAAAATACTGGCATTGGTAATATGGGATAAGGCCACATTGTTCACCTCAAGATTGGAGATATCAAAGGCCTCTTGTACAGAGGTGCAGAGGGGTTGATCTAATACATTATTTTCAGTCTTAATTGTAGTGTAAGAAGTGTAAGAACAGTGTCCATAAATGTGACAAAACTATGGTCCAAACTGCGGGGATGGGACTAGAATAGATATTTAACCCTAACCAAGTTGAGGTACTGACTAAATCCAACAAGGAAGTAACTAAATGTTGTCATAGTATGGTTTTGTGTTGACAGGGAACCTATTCAGCAAAATAGCAACCGTTAAGATGAGTCTTTTGTACAACCACAGACATACTGAGAAGTGACAGTTGTGCTGTTGGAATAAAGACTGAATGTAACCCAGAAGTGAAACAAAAACTCTCATATCTAGGTGTTAAACTCATGCAATGAATGATTTGAATTCCTCAGGAAGACGAAAACATGCATTTCCATACACCTCACACAGCATGATAATGCTGTTGTCAATCCTTAACCCCACAAAACAGAAATGCCTATAAAAAGGCATAAATGTATGCTAACTGAAATTGCGATCAGTAAAATTTGGTGATAAAGACTTGTTTAGCTTTCTGGATGTCAGACTTGCTATCGACTACTTTTACTCAAGTCCACAAACTGGACCTATCCCATTGTAACAGGACCTTTTTTTTGCTTTGATACTTCATTGGCGAGTTCATTTTTAAAAAATGTCTTTATTGCCACTGGTTGGACATTACTGTTAATTGAGTTTACAGTTATGATTGAATTCTGAAATTGCATCCCTCATTTAAATCTAAAGGACTTTAGCTTTCTAAAATATAGACATATGGAGAGACGAACAAGAAAAAAAACAGATTTCTCATGAATTATGTAAATATAAAGGGGGGTAATCTTTACACTTGACTGTGTAAGGCAGTAGTCACTGTGGACAAAGATCTGTTCTATGATGGAGTCTATCCGAAGGCTTTTTAATATCTTTCATTTCCCAGACACACTTTATTTGCGGATTTGAATAATGTGCAGAGGTATTGCAAAGAAATGGAGGGTTAAAGTTGATCAGTTATGCCACTACACCTACTAGGGCATAGTAAAAAGGGCTAAACGTGTGAAAAAGGGCTAAAAAGCAGACATCGCAGCACATTCTGCCCTATCAGACGGTGTTATCGTCACTTGTTGATTCAACAATGCCAGCTCAGAGTTTGAATGCTGGGCTGTAGCACCTCCGTTATGGTATATGTGATTGTGGAGTGGAACAGCAGCAGGTTAGCAGTGTTTTTTATTTTATTTTTTTTCAACGGGGCGTGAGACTCATCATCACCTCTGCATTCGATGCCCTGTTTGTTGCCCATGTGCCTTTTCTTAGGGGCTAACTTTTGTCTGACTCAACACTCCAGTGTGGAGTGATTACAACAATTATCAGGACTTATTGATTTATTGCTGAATAGTCAAGACATACTTTTGTTAATATGCCTTCCTTTCGATAAGCACCATCAAGTTTAAAACAAGACTCCAATATAATCTTACTTTTCTTGAAAGAAGTTGAGTTTCAGATAAAAGCTGAGGTTGCTTAGGAATATTTTTACCCGAGGAATCATCATTATCATTTTGCACATCTGTTGTGTTTAAAACGTGTTAAATGTTTAATATTGTCACTCATGGATTTGTTTTTCATAGTTTTTTCACAGATTAGCTTGGTGGCACGGAAACCACAAAATGTACCTTATTAGCTGGAAGTTTTGTTGTTTTTACTTTTTACTCTGCTTGTTCACAACAGCAGCTGTACAATGTCACGAGCTGGATTTAAAAACAGCTGCCATTATGGGATAGGTGTCTGAGTGTCTACTGACAAAGAGCTAGATAAGAGGACGGATACCTTTTTAATGTCAGTCCATTAAATATGCAGCAGCTGGTTAGCTTAGCTGAGCAGAAAGCCTGGCCGGGCTCAAATGCTGCATACCACCCGGGCACATGTGGAGCTCAGGGATTAGCATGATGTTTGTTGAAGTGTAAAAACTACCACACGGCTTTGCCTTAAGAGCGGAGACAGACTCAGAAACCGTCTGCCCCTTCGAACAAAGCGGAGAAAACTGGTTGAGTTTGAAGAGGGCAACGTGTGGGCTTTGCACAAACAAGAGCACGTTGTTTGCATCGCCGTCTCCGCGCTCCTAAAAATGAGCTCTGAAATAGGGTCAGCCGCGCGCCGGAGATGTGTACATGGCAAATATGCAAGCGGCCGGATAATGGAGCGGTCAGGAATGCAGTAGCAGGAGTGGGGAGTTACCAGCGGGGTCAGCGGCAGCAGGACTTTTCAATATCTCCCATTTGAGATGGAGTCCAGCCCCCACGGCTTATATAACACAGGAAACAGATGTTAGCAACTCACAATCATCCCTGTCACGCCTCCCCCCCATCCCCCCCACCCCCACCTTTTCTCTCCTCTTTCTTCCCCTTTTGTCTTTTACTCGTATCACGTCCCCAGGCAAGCTACCATGCATATGGGTTTTTCATTGTGAACATACCTGTACAGTCCTCCATGGCATGAAAGGCATAAAAGCACGGCTGTTGTCTAAATGAACTCTCTCACCTCTACATTTTTAACGGTGGTGCTGCTCTAACTGTAGTTTGAAGTCTTGATATTGGGCTGGTCAGATGTAGCTCCACACATTCTGAGGTCCCTCATACAGAAGGGCCATACCCTCTGACCCCTCTGAATTCTGTTTTTGTTTTATTTTTTTTACACTTTTTCCACCCTCTTACTGACAGTATTCTGATATAAAGAAAAAAAAATAGTTCCCACCAACTAAGGGAAACAAATTTATTTGAATCTGTAACACATAAAGCCCCTTTGGAAACCAAAACCTGACATCATACAGGCTGCTTTTTTTATTCAATACTTTGTACATTGGTCCATTTTACCTTCTCACGCTCTCATGCTTAGATGATGCTTGTTGCCAAGGCGACGGCTATAACCCAGGTTATATTATCTTCAGTTGGGGTGGGGGGGGGGGTTAAAAGGCTGGAGGCTTGGCAGAGGCAGGGACCCCAGCGGGAGGGAAGAGATTGAAGACAGAGAGATTCATGTTTGTACTTATATTTATCAGGACATAGAAGTGTGTGTGTATAATGTATATATATATGAGAAATAAGTATATACATACACTGACACACACTAGGCCGGCTGGAGGGCCCAATTTGGGCCCGGTGGGGGTCACCTCTGTGTATACGTGTGTAATATCATGCTCTCCGGGAGAGGTGTCGCTGGCAGTGATAGAAGCACTCCCGGGAGCAGACCACACTGGGTAATATCACACTCCGCAGGGAACTCGCCATGCACCCAGAAACACCCGCACACACACACACACACACACACACAGAGCAACACACGGCGCGTACGGGCCGCGTTCCACACAGCAACGCAAAGATCCAGGCGCACGCGCATCCCATTGGCTCCTTACAAGTTGTCCGAGGTTGGAGAACGTAGCGATTTGTCGTCTTTGAGTCGGCTCACACGTTTCCTATAGAGACCACTTATCGGACATTTGTGGAAGGGTCGACTTGATGATTTTCAAGTTTGTAGCTACACTTTTACTGCAACAAGTTGAATTTTTTTAATGAGTTCATGAGTGGTTAATTACTGCTATTAGAGTGTATTATGTTGTACTGTGTAAAAGAAACACTAAAGCAAACTCTTCAGGCCACATCATCTTTGAAGTTGTAGAAATACTGTGAAAATACAGTGTGCCGTCTCACCTCGATTCCCATACCTCTGCATATGTCCGACAACAACTGGGAAGTGACGGGACCCAGGTTCATGAACTTTTAGCGACCACATACGTGCAAACTCTTGCTTATGGAACAGAAGACGGCAGAAACTCTGCAGTCATCTCCCAACCCGGCATCACGCAACCAAATCCTACCACAGAGGGCTTTTTTTTTTTTTTATCTCCCAAACTGTCTCGCAATCCTCCATCCCAGCTGCGGGACGGAGGATCCAGAGACAGTTCGGGAGGCTGTCTCTCAGTTTTAGGAGACATGAGAGAGACAACCAACCCCCCTCGGATTTTTTTTGCCACGTATAGATGAAAGCGCAGACGAGGCTGGGAGAGGCACAGACAGAGGATGCGGCCTCTCTCTTTATAATCCACAGGCTGGCTCCGCTCAGATCGGGAGCCGGCAGCTTCATTAGGTGAGGGGGAGGCTGCTTTGATCTAAAAATACACGCCATCATTGCCTCTGGAGTGGAAAAAGTTAAAGAGTTTCCTCATATCTTAATCAGAAGACGCTTTATATATTTATTTATTTATTTATTCTCTTATTTTTTTTATCCAAGGAGAGGCTGAGGGTGGGAAATTGCGGTACGGCGGCGGCAATAAAAGGACGTATTACCTCTCGTGCCTGCAGGGTTATCTGTCACGGGATTATGGGAGTGTTTTCACGGCGTGGATTCTTTATCTTTTTGGGCAGCGTTAGTCGGAGTTCAAGTCGGAAGATGCACAGGTTGTAGTTTTGCCTCCCGGATGCAGCGGAATGGCGCGTACGGTTGGTTTTTACCGACAGGGTTCAGACATTTAACTGTTCTCCCGTGTTGTCTTCCCATTTCCCGCCCCCTTTCTCCGGCCTCCTGCGCCTCCGTCAGAGTATAGGCAAAGGCTCCCTGTGGTCCATAGATCCAGAGTACAGGCCCAACTTGATCCAGGCGCTAAAGAAGACGCCGTATCACCCCTACTCTCCGGTCCTGGCCGCCCCCTCCACCTCCCCACCCACACTACCACAGACGTTTCATCACAGGTAAGAGGAACCGTCTGTTCCACTCTTTGTGTGTTTTTTTTATGTGTTTTTGCGCTTGTGGAAGCTCACAATGAATGAACCAGCTTAATTTCCACAGTGGGTTTGGGTTCTCTCAGCCCCCTTTTTGATGTCTCTATGATTTGATTTTCAAGGAGGTTGTTGGTTTTGATATTCAAGGAGGTTGTTGCAACCTTTTAAGAGTTGCTGTCTAGGATTTTTCAAAGCTTTTCCTGTTTATTTATATGTCTTTCACTAATTTTAAGTTCAGCCACATTAACGCTGACCTATGAACAACAAAACCCTAGCCCCAACTCAAGGGAAGAACCAGTGTTGCGTCCACTTATCCAATGAGATATTTTCGATACGGGCTGAAAACATGTGATAACTCAGCACGGTGTGCAGTCAGTCTTGAAAAGAGTATAAACCTTAACAAGGGGAGTGATTATAGTTAAGAAGTTGTGACAAAGGACCTGAGAGATGCCGCTATTTGGAATGCTTTTTTATTTTATTTTGAAAAAAGTCTTATGAAGGGATTAGGCCTCCGAAGAACCAGGACCTCAACATTACTGGAGCAGGTTGGAGAGGATATGTTAGGTCTCTCGCCCCCAAATCTACTTTGAAACTTGCCAGTTTTATGAGTTGTTCTTCTGGTTTGCAAAAAGGGCAGTATGTATTTCAGATTTCGAGAACAATTAGCATCTAAGTCATTCTTATGGACTTTCTTATACGGCATACAGTGACATATGGCAGGAGAAATGTGATTTAAAACCCAGTTGGGAGACTTTAAATATTGTTTATGATAAAAAAAAGCAGAATTACGATTGAAACGGTTGTGTTATGTTCCTTGTGTTTGAAATTGCTGAGTGCTGATTTCACCTAGTATCTAATCTCAGCATGTTCAGGCATGGATATTGCGAATGGAAGAGATTTAAAGTATGTCACGGCATTTCTTTTTTCCAAACCGAGGAGAACTAAATGCAGTGGGGATAAATAATTCCGGAAAAAGTTCCTTTTAGTGTTTATCGCTTGTAAGTGGATCTCCGAGAATCAAAGAGAAACCAATCAAATGAGGACTCCAGTGCCGATATCCAATTATAACATAAAACCTACAGAGTACATTCATCCACTCCACTCTCTATCCTCTCCCCATCTGTCACTCGCTCCGCACCCACTCGCTGCAGGCGTTGGAGCTGACCTCCTCCGTCCTCTCCTTAAATCTTTTCGCACACTGTTTTCATGCAACAACACTCCCGTCCCTCCTTCTGTCTCCCTCCCCGCTTCAGGCGCATCGAAGGTATAAAAAAAGAGAGATAGAGAGAGGATAAAAAAAAAAAAACATGTTTTCTTTTTTTTTTCCCACTCTTTTTTTCTCCACAAGTTCGCTCCATCACACCCTCCCCCCCCCGCCGCCTCCCCACCAGCTACCAGCACGCCTCCTGTTCCGCTCCCTTCTCCTGGTTTTCCCACACACACCCTTATAGTTCATCCTCGGCATCCATTGCTTTCATTCATCCCTCCACTTCAACATCGCCCTCCCCTCCTCACACAAACACAGCCACACACACAGCCTCTCCACCACTTTATCAGTCAGTTAAATCCTTTTTTTGTCTCCATATCTCTACATCGCACACTCCCTACCAAGGCCCTCCCGAACTCTCTTCCCCCCCCCCCCTTCTGCTAACTTCTCAGTGTCCTGCCCTTCCATCCATCCCTGCGGGTACGTCAGAGAGCATTGCCATTAGTCTTTTCTTTTCTTTTTTTTCCTTCCTCATACTTTCACCGGCGTCTCCCCTCCCGATAATTCTCGGCCCGAGCAGCCCGGCGTCAGCAGCGCCTCCCCAGCTGATCCGGGCAGGTTGGCTCGCGGAGCCAGCGGACTGTGTAAGACAGAATAATTGGTTCACCATAAAATGTAAAAGTGTCATTTTGAACAATGAGGTATGGGGAAGTGGAACAAATTGGAGGCTGGATTCGGAACACAAGGGAGGGTGGTGGGGGGGGGGAGCAGGGAGAGGTGAGGCGAGGCCTGCTGTTTGCATTGTGACACACACGGCGGGAAAGGAGAATACATGAACGGGTTTGGTGGTTAAAGTGGAGCTGGAGGTCCCTGGCGAGGCGCCACCTTCACTGTGTGTGTTGGTGTAGGTGCTGTATCCACTTTACTTACAGAATGTGATCATCTGAGCAATAAAATGTCCTTCACGAGTTCCAGTAACATAAGGAGGGGCTTTTAGTGCCTGGTTTTCCTCCAGGCAGTTAAGTCCCAAACTCAAGGAAATTAAGGCCACTGATGTACAGATCAATAGAAAAGCAACAAATGGTGAAGCACTTACCACAGTGGAGCTATTCCCACGATCAATCAATCAGTTATCAATTGGAATCAAGTCACGTTTCATTACGATATTGAGTAAATAAAGACATTACAGGTGAACGGGGTAAAAGTTTGAACTAATCAATGACACCAGGAAACTCCTCCTACTTCACTACAGTTATATTTTCTGTTGTTAGCTCCCTGAATTTCTGTATTCATATATATCCCACTTCATTCAGTTACCTTAAAAAACGCAATAAAATTCACAAAAGGCATATTTACACATGTGGCACAGACAGGATAAAAGGTTTTATAAAAATCCACTGTGCAAAATAGAAAGAGTAGACAGTTCCACGAGGTGATAATTGAAAATTGCTTCCCCATTATTAACACTATTAGATTTAGTTGAGCTCCATTTCCATATCGTTACATATTTGGATGAGTTTCCTATACAAAAAATTGAACATTACATAGAGTTAAATGAAAGGTAATTCTTCCAATGTATGTCTGGGTTCTCTTCGAGGACTCTGGCTTCCTCCCACCATTCACAGAAAGATTTGCGTCAGGTTAATCTGGGAATCCAAATTGCCCGTTGGTGTGAGTGTGAAATTGCCTGGTTGCTGGACTCTGTATGACATCTCTGTATGGCCCTGTGATGGACTAGGGGTCTCTCCAGGATATATCCCAGCTGTGGGCTGGAATAGCTGGGACAGGCTCCAGCCAACCCTAGTTGGAGTAAGCGGTAAAGAAAGAAGAAGGCTTGCCCCGACCATTGCGTTATGCGCGTTCCTGCCTTAAAGCACAAAAGGTTTGAGATACCTGCAATTCAGGACTGTAGCTTCCACCCCCTAACCTCAATGTCTTGCTTTGCGATCGCTTAACATGTTTAACCCCTTTACCAAATTCACTTATGTGGTTATACATGTGCGGGACCCACATGGCCATCGTGTTTTTCATTTTAGTGGTGCTACATGCCATAATTGTAGAGCTGCGGGTGCTTATCATGGCACATCCTAGCTTTGTGTAGTGGGTCTTTTGACGGGATGCCCAAAATTAGCATTACGAACACATAAGCCACGATACGCAGTTGACCACTAGGCGGTACGCAAGCTTACTTTTGAGAATCCGGTGTTTTGCATCGTCAGTGGGGCTTCTTTAGGGTTCTCACGCAACAATCGCTATTTCTGTAGTGTTTTGGGTGATCAAGTCTGCCCCCTTGTGGAATCTTCAGCTAATTAACTGATGCTATCTGTCAACTTTCCCAAAATTCTTGTTATTGACCCACATTGACCCACACAGCTAGAAATGAGACGTAAAGAATCCCTCTTCAGGATATAAATGGGAATAAACTTGTCCTTTTACATAACTATTTGGTTTTGTTGTCACCACTGTTGACCGCCCTGCGATGTTGATGTTTACTGATTACGCTATACAGAAATTGACATGAGGATTACAGAATATCCACCATCCAGACCACTTCTTATTGGCAAAAATATGACGAATATGGTATACGTAATATAAAATGTACCAGGAGATTATGTATGTTGGTCTTTCTTTATTTTTAAAGAGGAAAAAAAATGAGATTGAAAGAGGAATAATGGTTTGTCATTTTCTACTTGCTGTTTAAACTAGTCAAACATGAGACCACAGATCTCAACCCATGTTGAATTTAGACTGTGGATTCAAATCTGGAGCCAGATCGGCTTCAGAAGTTAATCGCTTCAAACTTAGACCATGCCCCTTTATTTGAAGTTCGCTGACTAATCCAGCAAACAAACAAACAAAACAAACAAAAAGACAGACAGATGAACTGAAACCAGCCCCATTAGCTCTTTGGCAGACATACTCAGGCTTTGTCTGGTTAAATATGCTCTGAACTGCCGACATTTTCCAAGAGCCAGGAGCCAAACGTATGAATTCCCCAAATATCAAAACTTGGGTTCACATGAAATGAGTGTGATAAAATGAAAGAATTTTAATAATAAAAAAGTTAAAAGCACAAGGGAATAGGTGGCTCAAAGTTTGAGTTTGAGCCGCTTAAACTTTTTAATGTGTTGGACTTCTTATGTTAACTTTTTTCCCCACCACCTCCGCTTTTTGTCGCTTTGTCCTTAATTATGTGAACTTCTCTAACAACTTTTGTTTAAAAAAACTGCTTTCACCATTAAAACATCTTTAACTTCTCAGCCAACTTTGCAGAACCAGTATATCAGTTTTTCATGAAGATAGCATCTTAGTGCTTCAGATTCTTTTGGAAATGCTTTTTTGTTGGGTCCAGAAAAGTGGTTTCTAAACTCTGTATTGATTAACCTTATATAAATGAATGCCTTCTGAATTTCCATTTACAATTCTGTTAATAGTTTAGAATACTTTTGGAATATCGTCATTTTAGATTTTGAGTTTTTGTTACCCTTTTGCCTGTTGAATCAGTTTCAAAACAGGAAGCAGGGAATCTTATCTGACTGACTTCATCGTGGCCGTTAACATGATTATCAATATTTCTTTCATTTGTTATAGCGTATATCACCTTGTCGCAGTATATTTACATATTATTTCCATTTCCATTTAACACGTCATTTTAAACTGACTAATTCTCACTTTCAAAAACGGAAATACAAGTTAAAAGTTTAAAGGGCATCTGGAATGTACTTTTTTTTATAAATAAGGGATAATAGCCATCTCTTGGACAACTGTGAGCTGCTATTTCTAAAACTTTAAGGAGACTAAATATGAACAGAGTGGATCGCACACTGTAGTGGAAAGTAGAAACCAGTGGAAACAGTTAATGTCTCAAAGGCCTGCGAGATTAAAATAAAGTCTTTGCTTTTCACTTTATTTGCGTCCTGGAGCTCAAGCCCAATCAATAGAAACATGATCTCTCTCTCAAGAGCCCTCACGCTCAAGAATATAATATGTATGAAGTGTAATGAGTGTGAATGGCCGCACGGCATGTCTGTTATGTTCAGGTCAAGGACTGACTCCGGCAGCCCGACGCGGAGAATGGAGGAGCGATGAAATGGATAGGAAGGAAGTGGCAGAGCGAGCCTAAAGGGGGACACTGAGGAGTTATGGAGGGAGCGCTTCTTTGTCCTCCGCTGTTTGTCACTTACGCCCCTTGCTCTTTCAGGGATTTAAACAACTTACACCACCACCCCCCCCACCACGTGCAGCTTGAGCTGCTGTGTGTGCATGCGTTCCCAAATGGGTGAGAGGAGAGGGGGAGCACGCCGGGCGGGAGGTCAGCTCCACGGTGCATTCCTTCACACCCCATCAGCATCTGGATGAGATGAAGAGGGGAGGGAAGAATGGATGGCGGGAGGTGTGTCTCCAGGGGGATGATGATGATGATGAGGATGAGGAGGAGCTACCTCCATCCCTTTGTCTTTTGTTTGTTCCTCCTGCTCTCCTTCCCTCCCTCAGAGGAAAAGGGATGGAATAAGATGTTGACCGCAGGAGAGGGGTGATGGAACGCGCCTTCGTCTGCTGTGGGCTTTACCCCCCCCCCGCCCACCACATTTAATGCACGGGGGTCGCCATGGCAACGGGAACGCCGCCATGGCAACACGCCTGGTATAAGTCAGGTGCTGTCGCACTGCAAAGCCATTTGTTGAGAGGCGGAAAAGAAGGAGTGAGAAAGAGGGGAGAATGAGATGGGTGGTGGGGGAGGAATGGAGGTGGGGAGGCAGCAGGGAAAACAGACAGGCTGTTAGCGCAGGAAAAATATGTTATCGCCGTGGCAACGCAATGTGGCAACTCTCCATGGCAACAGCAGGTGGCTCAGGGCTGAAATGTGCGCTCGCTTTGCTTTCGTTTTGCTTTTTTGCGGTGCGCGCGTGTGCGTGCGTGCGTGCGTGCGTGCGTGCGTGCGTGCGTGCGTGCG